TGGGGCATTTCAGCATACTGTTTGGATTACCGTGATATTGAGTGGTTTGCCTTGGAAATGAACAGAGATTATTCTGTCGTTTTTGAGATTGCATCCAAGTACTGCATTTCAGACTCTTGTTGACCATTATGGCTACTCCATTTCTTCTAGGGATTCCTGCCCACAGTAGAATGGTCATCTGAGTTAAATTCACCCATTCCAGTCTATCTTAGTTCGCTGATTCCTAGAATGTCACTCTTCACTGTCATGTTCACTCTTGCCATCTCCTGTTTGAACACACTTCCAATTTGCCTTGATTCATGGACCTAACATTCCAGGTTCCTATGCAATATTGCTCTTTACAGCATCAGACCTTGCTTCTATCACCAGACACATCCACAGCTGGGTATTGTTTTTGTTTTGGCTCCATCCCTTCAATCTTTCTGGAGTTATTTCTCCACTGATCTCCAGTACCATATTGGGCACCTACCGACCTGAGGAGTTTCTCTTTCAGTATCCTATCATTTTGCCTTTTCATACTGTTCATGGGTTTCTCAAGGCAGGAATGCTGAAGTAGTTTGCCATTCCCTTCTCCAGTGGACCACATTCTGTCAGACCTCTCCACATCTTCTTTTAGCTGTGAAAAGAAGAGAAGCAAAAAGCAAAGGAGAAAAGGAAAGATATTCCCATCTAAATGCAGAGTTCCAAAGAATAGCAAGGACAGATAAGAAAGCCTTCCTCAATGATCAATTCAAAGAAATAGAGGAAAACAACAGAATGGGAAAGATTAGAGATCTCTTCAAGAAAATTAGAGATACCAAGGGAACATTTCATGCAAAGGTGGGCTCAATAAAGGATAGAAATGGTATGGACCTAACAGAAGCAGAAGATATTAAGAAGAGGTGGCAAGAATACACAGAAGAACTATACAAAAAAGATCTTCATGACCCAGATAATCACGATGGTGTAATCACCCACCTAGAGCCAGACATCTGGAATGTGAAGTCAAGTGGGCCTTAGAAAGCATCACTAGGAACAAAGCTAGTGGAGGTGATGGAATTCCAGTTGACCTATTTCAAATCCTGAAAGATGATGCTGTGAAAGTGCTGCTCTCAATATGCCAGCAAATATGGAAAACTCAGCAGTGGCCACAGAACTGGAAAAGGTCAGTTTTCATTCTAATCCCAAAGAAAGGCAATGCCAAAGAATACTTGCACTACCGCATAATTGCACTCATCTCACACACTAGTAAAGTAATGCTCAAAATTCTCCAAGCCAGGCTTCAACAGTGCGTGAACTGTGAACTTCCAGATGTTCAAGCCAGATTTAGAAAAGGCAGAGGACCCAGAGATCAAATTGCCAACATCCACTGGACCATTGAAAAAGCAAGAGAGTTCCAGAAAAGCATCTACTTCTGCTTTATTGACTATGCCAAAGCCTTTGACTGTGTGGATGACAACAAACTCTGGAATATTCTGAAAGAGATGAGAATACCAGAACACATGACCTGCTTCTTGAGAAATCTGTATGCCAGTCAGGAAGCAAAAGTTAAAACTGGACATGGAACAACAGATTGGTTCCAAATAGGGAAAGGAGCACATCAAGGCTGTATTGTCACCCTGCTTATTTAACTTATATGCAGAGTACATCACGAGAAACACTGGGCTGGAAGAAGCACAAGCTGGAATCAAGATTGCTGGGAGAAATATCAATAACCTCATATATGCAGATGACGCCACCCTTATGGCAGAAAGTGAAGAGGAACTAAAAAGCCTCTTAATGAAAGTGAAAGTGGAGAGTGAAAAAGTTGGCTTAAAGCTCAACATTCAGAAAACAAAGATCAAGGCATCTAGTCCCATCACTTTGTGGCCAATAGATGGGAAAACAGTGGAAACAGTGTCAGACTTTATTTTTTTGGGCTGAAAAATCACTGTAGATGGTGATTGCAGCCATGAAATTAAAAGACGCTTACTCCTTGGAAGAAAAGTTATGACCAACCTAGATAGCATATTAAACAGCAGAGACATTACTTTGCCAGCAAAGGTCTGTCTAGTCAAGGCTATGGTTTTTCCAGTGGTCATGTATGGATGTGAGAGTTGGACGGTGAAGAAAGCTGGGTGCTGAAGAATTGATGCTTTTGAACTGTGGTGTTGGAGAAGACTCTTGAGCGTCCCTTGGACTGCAAGGAGATCCAACAAATCCATTCTAAAGGAGATCAGTCCTGGGTGTTCATTGGAAGGACTGATGCTGAAGCTGAAAGTCCAATACTTTGGCCACCTCATGCGATGAGTTGACTCATTGGAAAAGACCCTGATGCTGGGAGGGATTGGGGTAGGAGGAGAAGGGGACGACAGAGGATGAGATGGCTGGATGGCATCACTGACCTGATGGACATGATTTTTAGTAAACTCTGGGAGTTGGTGATGGACAGGGAGGTGTGCTGCGATTCATGAGGCCACAAGGAGTCAGACACGACTGAGTGACTGAACTGAACTGAATTGTTAATAATTATGCATTTAGCCTAAGATACCATGTTTTCTATAACAAGCTATGTTCTCCATCTAATATTCTTACTATTTATTACTAATTAAAATAAAATACTATTTTCTCTTTCTCCCTCCAAATATTTATCTATATATCTGGGATTTCTAAGCATGAATGTGTGGAAGGGCAATCATATATTAGGCAAATTATACTAATTCTTTGGAAATACTTTAAAAGTAGTTATATCTATACATATATTAAATTATTTAGTGCCTAGAGAGAACACTTTATAATATACAATTTTGCTGTCCTTTGGGAAATGGTGTTCATGAATCTCATCCTCCTGAGAATTCTCCATCATCTTTACATATTTTCCTTCAGGGCACAGAAGCATAAACACTACATGTGGTCAAGAGTTTATTAATTTGTATGGCACTCTGGGTAGTACATAGAAAAGTATTCAGTATATAATGGGGACTTTAAAGTAGTAGACTAAAAACTGTGTTAAAAGTTCTATTCAAATTGTTTTAAACTTTGAAGTATATGTAACAAACTATAATCATAGATTATGAAGTGGAGTGAAATCCATTTGGAGAGGAATGAAATATCAGTACACTATTCAGCATTATGACAAAAACTAAATATTGAGGCAAAGATAGTTCACATGAATGAATATGTACATTTGTCTTCTGTAAAGAAAATGTTGGATTTTTAAATGTTTTTGGCAGACTGATTTAGGACTCAACATATGAAAAGAATAGGTATGTCTTAAAATTAAAGATAATATTTTCTTTTATACACATATGTGTGTATATATATATACACACATTAGTTCTCTTTTACCTTATTTTTTTTAACCTTTTAAATTTTGATTTAGGGGAAAACAGTGAAAGAAGTGTAATGCAACATAACAAAAATTTAGTCTTGAAGTTGCTTTTTTTTTTTTTTTTTGTAATATAGCTGGTATTCACAATATCTAACACAGCTAACCCTAACTGTGTTCATAGGCCTTCTTTCTAATGGTTTATAATGTAAATTTTTTATAGTCCCTGTTGGGGAATCATTGGTGTGATATGATTGGTGAAGCTGGACAAAGGAATGATGTAACATGATAAAATTCTTATAAGATTATTTAGGTATATGCATTCTACAATCATTGCCATTATGATAAATTGTGTAAATGAGAAAAAAAAATTATAACAGATTGCCGCACAATTTTCTGAATGTTCAAAGAAAGTCCAAGAAAAATGTCATCTCTTTTCATTCATAAATTTCTATATATTAATACGTATGGTTTTGATAGATGAATTTGAGCAAATACACTATATTCTGCTTGCTTTACTACTACTGTTTTACTACTAAGAGGACAACTTTAGAGAGAACACATTTTCAATTAATCGTCATGTCCACTTTTACTGGCTGTGCAAGCCTGAATACTCTGTCTCATTCAATATATGTCAGTGAGGGGAATAGTTGTAAATAGACAATATTTCTTTAATTGCACATTACCCAGACACATAATATCCTTACAATAGGGACATATGTATCTCTTAATATTTGTCTCACCCTATTATGTGATTCATTATGTATTGAAATTTACCAGGTAATCATCTTTTTTTAGACTACACTTCTCTCAAAATTGTTCATGTTTTCAGTCTGTATTTTAGATAGAGAACAAAAAGGTAAGTATAAGGAATACTTATAGCAGATGGAGAATAGCAGATGGAGAGAAATTTCATTCATAAAATTTTCTTCCTTTAATATCTACATATTTTAACCTTACTTTAATTTTTCCTTCAAACTCATTAACCTATCCCTGAAAAACCTTTCTTACTTCTCTTGATTTACATAGAGCTTTACCATTATGTTTATATTTCTCTTCTTTTAACTTCCTCCACTTCATACAATCTCATGATGTCATATCTATATTTCTCTCTTTGCTTCTATATCCCTTATCCTTATTTTTCACTTTATTCTACCACGTCCATTCTCAGAATCTTAACTGGCAGAGGAAAACTGCAGTTTCTCAATACACACACTGACTTTACTGACTGTACTTGCAGATTTTGTTTTAGCATACAAAATGGGAAGGATAGGTTACATCAGAGACTAAGGAGATGGAAATACTATAAAGAACAAAAAATAAGACTTTTTAAAACTTCTATTTATTTAGCTAGTTATTTTTGGCTGAGCTTCCCAGGTGGCTTGGAGAGTAATGAGGGAGACCTGGGTTGGATCACTGGGTTGGGAAGATCCCCTGGAGAAAGAAATGACAACCCACTCCAGTATTCTTGCCTGGAGAATTCCATGATCAGAGGAACCTAGCAGCCAGTTCATGGGGTCGCAAAGAGTAGGACACAACCAAGCGACTGACACATACACATTTTTGGCTACTCTGGGTCTTCGCTGCTGTGCGGGCTTTCTCTAGTTCCTGGGAATGTGGTCTACTCTGTATAGTTGTAGTGAACCGGCTTTTCATTGGAGTGGCTTCTCTCGTTGCAGGGCACAGGCGCTAGAGTGCAGGGTCGGTAGTTGTGATGCAGGGGCCTACTCGCTGTGCAGCATACGAGATTCTCTTGAACCAGGAGTCGAGCTGGTGTCCCCTTCATTGCAAGGCGGACTCTCAACCACTGGACCACCAGGGAAACCTAAGAACAGAAGACTATTTCCAATGCCCCATATTAATTTGTATGAAATCGGATAAGGTTAGCTATGAAAATAAATGAGTCTAAAATCAGGCATTTGAGTTTGGTTAATTGAGTAAAATGGAAAAGATGTACTAGCTTTGTCTATTGAGGATGAATTGTGTGTGTGTGTGTGTGTGTGTGTGTGTGTGTGTATGAAACCCAGGCTTCAATGACAGATATAATTTTGGTTCTTGTCTGAGAACTTAATTGAACAGGAAATGGCATATATCCAAACTCTTGCATGATGTAAAGAGAGAAAAAGCATTCCTTATACTTTAAAAGTTCTCGAGAAGGAAGGAGCCAAGATGACGGAGGAATAGGACGGGGAGACCACTTTCTCTCCTACAAATTCATCGAAAGAACATTTGAATGCTGAGCAAATTTCACAAAACAACTTCTGATCGCTAGCAGAGGACATCAGGCGCCCAGAAAAGCAGCCCATTGTCTTCGAAGGGAGGTATGACAAAATATAAAAGATAAAAAGGGAGTCAAAAGAGCTACGGACAGAGACCTGTCCCAGGAAGGGAGTCTTAATAGAGGAAGTTTCCAAGCACCAGGAAACCCTCGCACTGGCGGGACTGGGGGAAGTTTTCAGCAATCTAACTGGGAGGAAAAATTAAACAAGGCCCACAGATTACGTGCCTAAAAGCAACTCCCAGCAGAAAAGTACCCCAGACGCCCGTACCTGCCAGCAACAAGCGGGGGCGGGACGGAGAGGAGCGGGCGGCATTGCTGAGGGTAAGGACCGGCCCGAAGACCCTGAGAGCAATCGGAGGGAGCTTTTTTAAACTGTGAGGTAGCAAGGATCAAAATTAACCGGCCCGAACACACTGCCGGCGGTTCGCAAAACAAAGGGACTGAGAAAGTCAGAGAAGAGCCGGCCCATCCCCGCTGGAGGTAGGAGGCAGAGGGGAGGGGAAAAGGGCAAACTCAGCCCCTGAGAAGCCACCCCCTCCCACACTGCAAACAGGCCCCCGGTTCCTGTCTGAAGACTTCCTGAGACCCGACTGGCGGCGCGCGCTGGGGCCGCGGAGGGAAAAGGCGCGCCGCACCCGGGGAGATTGCGCCCAAGCCTCTGGCTGCCTGAGCCGCTCGCCGCGGAGGGAAAAGGCGCGCCGCACCCGGGGAGATTGCGCCCAAGCCCCTGGCTGCCTGGGCCGCTCGCCGCGGAGGGAAAAGGCGCGCCGCACCCGGGGAGAGTGCGCCCAAGCCTCTGGCTGCATGAGCCGCTCGACGCGGAGGGAAAAGGCGCGCCACATCCGGGGAGAGTGCGCCCAAGCCTCTGGCTGCCTGGGCCGCTCGCCGCGGAGGGAAAAGGCGCGCCACATCCGGGGACAGTGCGCCCAAGCCCCTGGCTGCCTGGGCCGCTCGCCGCGGAGGGAAAAGGCGCGCCACATCCGGGGAGAGTGCGCACAAGCCTCTGGCTGCCTGAGCTGCCCGCCGCGGAGGGAAAAGGTGCGCCACATCCGGGGACAGTGCGCCCAAGCCCCTGGCTGCCTGGGCCGCTCGCCGCGGAGGGAAAAGGCGCGCCGCATCCGGGGAGCGTGCGCCCAAGCCTCTGGCTGCCTGAACCGCTCAGGCGGGGGAAGGCACAAAACGCAGGCGCAACCGAATCTGCGCTTTAGTGGAGTACCCGAAAACTGGAACCGCACTCAACGCAGGGCCCGCTCCATATAGAGCAGCCGGGAGCCTGAGCAGTGTAGACGGGGAAAGCACTGACACCCGTGAGCGGGGCAAACCCAGTGTGGCCGGAACACGGTGAGTGCTATCCACACAGGCGGTATCTGTCTGCAGCGCCCCGCCCTCCCCGTAGCAGGACTGAACTGAACTAGCGAACCTAAATAAGAGATCACCTCCACCCGCCTCTGTCAGGGCGGAAATTAGACACCGAAGAGACGGCAAACAGAAGCCAAATAAACAAAGGGAACAGCTTCAGAAAGGACCGGTGCAACAGGTTAAAATCCCTGAAGGTAACACCGACTACACCAGAAGGGGCCTACAGATATCGAGAAGTGTAAGCTGGAAAGAGGAGCTATCTGAAATTGAACTGAACCCTCACTGACCGCAACAACTCCAGAGAAATTCCTAGATATATATGTATATATTTTTTTTTAATTAAAAAAAATTTTTTTTTCTTTCCTTTTTTTTATTTTTTATTTTTTCTCTTTTATTTTCTTTTAAAATTCCCTATTACTCCCCCATTACTCCTCAACTTTCATTTTCATATATTTTTACGATTTTTTTAATTAGGGAAAAAAATTTATTTTATTTTTTTTTCTTTTTCTTGTTTTTCTCTCCTATTTCCTTTTAAAGTCCTCTAATACTCCTCTATTATTCCTTAATTTTCATTTTCATTTCACTATAACCTTGCCAAAAAAAAAAAAAGAGAGAGAAAAACCCTATTTTTTAATCAAACTTCATATACATTTCTAAATATTTTGTGTGTTTTTGTTTTTAAATATTGTATTTCAAAGAGTCTAACCTCTACACTAGATTTTTAATCTTTGTTTTTCAGTAGTATGTGATATAAATTTTGGTCATTTAAGAATCCAATATTCAGTTCCCATTTCTATTCAGGAGTGTGGTGATTACTCTCCCACTTTTGACTCTCTGTTTTCTACCTCGGAACACCTCTATTTCCTCCTTTCCCCTTCTCTTCCCAATCCAACTCTGTGAATCTTTGTGGGTGTCTGGGCTACGGAGAACACTTTGGGAACAGATAACTGCGTAGATCTGTCTCTCTCCTCTTGAGTCCCCTTTTTCTCCTCCTGCTCACCTCTATCTCTTTCCTCCCTCTCCTATTCTTCATGTAACTCTGTGAACCTCTCTGGTTGTCTCTCCCGGTGGAGAATCTTTTCACCATTAACCTAGAAGTTTTATTATCAGTGCTGTATAGTTGGAGAAGTCTTGAGACTATTGGAAGAACAAAACTGAAATCCAGAGGCAGGAGACTTAAGCCCAAATCTTGAGAAAACCAGAAAACTCCTGACTACACGGAACATTAAGGAATAAGAGACCATCCAAAAGCTTCCATACCTACACCAAAACCAACCACCACCCAAGAGCCAATAAGCTCCAGTACAAGACATACCACGCAAATTCTTTAGCAACGCAGAAACATAGACCTGAGTGTCAACATACAGGCTCTCCAAAGTCACACCTAACACATAGATCCATCGCAAAACTCATTACTGGACACTCCATTGCACTCCAGAGAGAAGAAATCCAATTCCACGCACCAGAACGCTGACACAAGCTTCCCTAACCAGGAAACCTTGACAAACCAATCGTCCAACCCCACCCACTGGGTGAAACCTCCACAATAAAAAGGAACCTCAGACCACAAGAATTCAGAAAGCCCACTCCAGACACAGCAATCTAAACAAGATGAAAAGGCAGAGAAATACCCAACAGCTAAAGGAACATGAAAAAAGCCCACCAAGTCAAACAAAAGAGGAAATAGGGAATCTACCTGAAAAAGAATTTAGAATAATGATAATAAAAATGATCCAAAATCTTGAAAACAAAATGGAGTTACAAATAAATAGCCTGGAGACAAAGATTGAGAAGATGCAAGAAATGTTTAACAAGGACCTAGAAGAAACAAAAAAAAAGTCAATTAAAAATAAATAATGAAATAAATGAGATCAAAAACACTCTGGAGGGAACCATGAGTAGAATAACAGAGACAGAAGATAGGATAAGTGAGTTAGAAGATAAAATGGTGGAAATAAATGAAGCAGAGAGGAAAAAAGAAAAAAGAATCAAAAGAAATGAGGACAACCTCAGGGACCTCTGGGACAATGTGAAACGCCCCAACATTCGAATCATAGGAGTCCCAGAAGAAGAAGACAAAAAGAAAGGCCATGAGAAGATACTCGAGGAGATAATAGCTGAAAACTTCCCTAAAATGGGGAAGGAAATAGCCACCCAAGTCCAAGAAACCCAGAGAGTCCCAAACAGGATAAACCCAAGGCAAAACACCCCAAGACACATATTAATCAAATTAACAAAGATCAAACACAAAGAACAAATATTAAAAGCAGCAAGGGAGAAACAACAAATAACACACAAAGGGATTCCCATAAGGATAACAGCTAATCTATCAATAGAAACCCTTCAGGCCAGAAGGGAATGGCAGGACATACTTAGAGTAATGAAAGAGAATAACCTACAACCTAGATTACTCTACCCAGCAAGGATCTCATTCAGATATGAAGGAGAACTCAAAAGCTTTACAGACAAGCAAAAGCTGAGAGAATTCAGCACCACCAAACCAGCTCTTCAACAAATGCTAAAGGATCTTCTCTAGACAGGAAACACAGAAAGGTGGTATAAACGTGAACCCCAAACAACAAAATAAATGGCAACGGGACCATACCTATCAATAATTACCTTAAATGTAAATGGGTTGAATGCCCCAACCAAAAGACAAAGGCTGGCTGAATGGATAAAAAAGCAAGACCCCTATATATGCTGTCTACAAGAGACCCACCTCAAAACAAGGGACACATACAGACTAAAAGTGAAGGGCTGGAAAAAAATATTCCACGCAAACGGAGACCAAAAGAAAGCAGGAGTCGCAATACTCATATCAGACAGAATAGACTTTCAAATAAAGACTGTGAAAAGAGACAAAGATGGACACTACATAATGATCAAAGGATCAATCCAAGAAGAAGATATAACAATTATATATGCACCCAACATAGGAGCACCACAATATGTAAGGCAAATGCTAACGAGTATGAAAAAGGAAATTAATAGTAACACAATAATAGTAGGAGACTTTAATACCCCACTCACAACTATGGATAGATCAACTAAACAGAAAATGAACAAGGAAGCACAAACTTTAAAGGACACAATGGACCAGCTAGACCTAATTGACATCTATAGGACGTTTCACCCCAAAACAATCAACTTCACCTTTTTCTCAAGTGCACACGGAACCTTCTCCAGAATAGATCACATCCTGGGCCATAAATCTAGTCTTGCTAAATTCAAAAAGATTGAAATCATTCCAGTCATCTTTTCTGACCACAGTGCAGTAAGATTAGATCTTAATTACAGGAAAAAAATTATTAAAAATTCAAACATATGGAGGCTAAACAACACGCTTCTGAATAACCAACAAATCATAGAAGAAATCAAAATATGCATAGAAATGAATGAAAATGAAAACACAACAACCCAAAACCTATGGGACACTGTAAAAGCAGTGCTAAGGGGAAGATTCATAGCATTACAGGCCTACCTCAAGAAACAAGAAAAAAGTCAAATAAATAACCTAACTCTACACCTAAAGCAACTAGAGGAGGAAGAAATGAAGAACCCCAGGGTTAGTAGAAGGAAAGAAATCTTAAAAATTAGGGCAGAAATAAATGCAAAAGAAACTAAAGAGATCATAGCAAAAATTAACAAAGCTAAAAGCTGTTTTTTTGAAAAAATAAACAAAATTGACAAACCATTAGCAAGACTCATTAAGAAACAAAGGGAGAAGAACCAAATTAACAAAATTAGAAACGAAAATGGAGAGATCACAACAGACAACACCGAAATACAAAGGATCATAAGAGACTACTACCAGCAGCTCTATGCCAATAAAATGGACAACTTGGAAGAAATGGACAAGTTCTTAGAGAAGTATAACTTTCCAAAACTGAACCAGGAAGAAATAGAAGATCTTAACAAACCCATCACAAGCAAGGAAATCGAAACTGTAATCAGAAATCTTCCAGCAAACAAAAGCCCAGGACCAGATGGCTTCACAGCTGAATTCTACCAAAAATTTAGAGAAGAGCTAACACCTATCTTACTCAAACTCTTCTAGAAAATTGCAGAAGAAGGTAAACTTCAAACTCATTCTATGAGGCCACCATCACCCTAATTCCAAAACCAGACAAAGATGCCACAAAAAAAGAAAACTACAGGCCAATATCACTGATGAACATAGATGCAAAAATCCTTAACAAAATTCTAGCAAACAGAATTCAACAACATATTAAAAAGATCATACGTCATGATGAAGTGGGCTTTATCCCAGGAATGCAAGGATTCTTTAATATTCACAAATCAATCAATGTAATACACCACATTAACAAATTGAAAGATAAAAACCATATGATTATCTCAATAGATGCAGAAAAAGCCTTTGATAAAATTCAACATCCATTTATGATTAAAACTCTCCAGAAAGCAGGAATAGAAGGAACATACCTCAACATAATAAAAGCTATATATGACAAACCCACAGCAAGCATCACCCTCAATGGTGAAAAACTGAAAGCATTTCCCCTGAAATCAGGAACAAGACAAGGGTGCCCACTCTCACCACTACTATTCAACATAGTTTTGGAAGTTTTGGCCACAGCAATCAGCAGAAAAAGAAGTAAAAGGAATCCAGATAGGAAAAGAAGAAGTGAAACTCTCGCTGTTTGCAGATGACATGATCCTCTACATAGAAAATCCTAAAGACTCTACCAGAAAATTACTAGAGCTAATCAACGAATACAGTAAAGTTGCAGGATATAAAATTAACACACAGAAATCTCTTGCATTCTTATACACTAACAATGAGAAAACAGAAAGAGAAATTAAGGAAACAATACCATTCACCATTGCAACAAAAAGAATAAAATACTTAGGAGTATATCTACCTAAAGAAACAAAAGACCTATACATAGAAAACTATAAAACACTGATGAAAGAAATCAAAGAGGACACAAACAGATGGAGAAATATACCGTGTTCATGGATTGGAAGAATCAATATTGTCAAAATGGCTATACTACCCAAAGCAATCTACAGATTCAATGCAATCCCTATCAAACTACCAACGGTATTTTTCACAGAACTAGAACGAATAATTTCACAATTTGTATGGGAATACAAAAAACCGTGAATAGCCAAAGTAATCCTGAGAAAGAAGAATGGAACTGGAGGAATCAATCTGCCTGACTTCAGACTATACTACAAAGCCACAGTCATCAAGACAGTATGGTACTGGCACAAAGACAGAAATATAGATCAATGGAACAGAATAGAAAGCCCAGAGATAAATCCACGAACCTATGGTCACCTTATCTTCGACAAAGGAAGCAAGGATATACAATGGAAAAAAGACAACCTCTTTAACAAGTGGTGCTGGGAAAACTGGTCAACCACCTGTAAAAGAATGAAACTAGAACACTTTCTAACACCATACACAAAAATAAACTCAAAATGGATTAAAGATCTAAATGTAAGACCAGAAACTATAAAACTCCTAGAGGAGAACATAGGCAAAACATTCTCCGACATAAATCACAGCAGGATCCTCTATGACCCACATCCCAGAATTTTAGAAACAAAAGCAAAAATAAACAAATGGGACCTAATGAAACTTAAAAGCTTTTGCACAACAAAGGAAACTATAAGCAAGGTGAAAAGACAGCCCTCAGATTGGGAGAAAATAATAGCAAACGAAGCAACAGACAAAGGATTAATCTCAAAAATATGCAAGCAACTCCTCCAGCTCAACTCCAGAAAAATAAATGACCCAATCAAAAAATGGGCCAAAGAACTGAACAGACATTTCTCCAAGGAAGACATACAGATGGCTAACAAACACATGAAAAGATGCTCAACATCACTCATTATCAGAGAAATGCAAATCAAAACCACAATGAGGTACCATTACACGCCAGTCAGGATGGCTGCTATCCAAAAGTCTACAAGCAATAAATGCTGGAGAGGGTGTGGAGAAAAGGGACCCCTCTTACACTGTTGGTGGGAATGCAAATTAGTACAGCCACTATGGAAAACAGTGTGGAGATTTCTTAAAAAGCTGGAAATAGAACTGCCATATGACCCAGCAATTCCCCTTCTGGGCATACACACCGAGGAAACCAGATCTGAAAGAGACACGTGCACCCCAATGTTCATCGAAGCACTGTTTATAATAGCCAGGACATGGAAGCAACCTAGATGCCCATCAGCAGACGAATGGATGAGGAAGCTGTGGTACATATACACCATGGAATATTACTCAGCCATTAAAAAGAATTCATTTGAATCAGTTCTAATGAGATGGATGAAACTGGAGCCCATTATACAGAGCGAAGTAAGCCAGAAAGATAAAGACCATTACAGTATACTAACACATATATATGGAATTTAGAAAGATGGTAACGATAACCCTATATGCAAAACAGAAAAAGAGACTCTGATGTATAGAACAGACTTGTGGACTCTGGGAGAAGGCGAGGGTGGGATGTTTCAAGAGAACAGCATCGAAACACGTATATTATCTAGGGTGAAACAGATCACCAGCCCAGGTTGGGTGCATGAGACAAGTGCTCGGGCCTGGTGCACTGGGAAGACCCAGAAGGATCAGGTGGAGAGGGCGGTGGGAGGGGGGATCGGGATGGGGAATACATGTAAATCCATGGCTAATTCATTTCAATGTATGACAAAAACCACTGCAATGATGTAAAGTAATTAGCCTCCAACTAATAAAAATAAATGGAAAATAAAAAATAAAAGTTCTCTGTATCCCTGATTGACTTACATAAAAACTGTCAACAATTAGTGCTGTTATATAGATTATTCTCTAAAAGAATTGCAAGCTGAACTTTCAATTAATCTATCCAGATATTTTGCACATGTATCTATTACTATCTCTGAAAAAAACACTTTTTAAAACATGAATGAGCATTGTTTTGCTGTACATAAAAATTGCTTTGCCAACTTTATCTTAAATAATGATTATCCCTGTTATGTCTCCATTTGGTACATTTTTTTTTTCTTTTTCTTCTATTCAGACAGAGCAATTGTCAGAAAACTGGAATGGGAATCACACAAGGGTGGTAGTGTTTATTCTAGCAGGTTTAACAAGTGACCCACAAATGAAAATTGTTTTATTTATCTTCCTACTACTCACCTACTTGCTAAGCATCACTGGCAATCTGATTATCATCACACTTACCCTGGTAGATACTCACCTGAAGACCCCCATGTACTTTTTCTTTCAAAATTTTTCCTTTTTAGAAATTTCATATACTACTACATGCATCCCTAAATTGCTGGTTATGATGGCAACAGGAGACAAAACCATTTCCTATAACAGTTGTGTGACTCAAGTGTTTTTTGCCTTTCTTCTTGGCGCGTCTGAATTTTACTTACTGGCAGCAATGTCCTACGACCGCTATGTTGCCATCTGTAAGCCCCTGCATTACACAACCATCATGAACGGTAAAATCTGCATGCAGCTTGTCCTCAGTTGTTGGTTTGCTGGATTTTTGGTCATCTTTCCACCACTCCTCTATGGCCTAAACCTTGACTTCTGTGCTTCTACCTTTGTTGATCATTTCTATTGCGACACCACTCCCCTCCTACAAATCTCCTGCTCATATACAAAGTTAATCGAGATGATGGGATTCATCTCAGCTGTGGTGACATTGGTGATCACATTGGTAATGGTGATCCTATCATATACCTGTATTGCCTTGACTATTCTAAGAATTCCCTCAGCTAGTCACAGGAGAAAGGCTTTTAAAACGTGTTCTTCTCACATGATTGTGATATCCCTTTCTTACAGCAGCTGCATCTTTATGTATGTTAAACCTTCAGTCAAACAAAGAATATCTTTTTCCAAAGGAATTTCAGTGCTCAACACCTCTGTTGCACCGCTTTTGAATCCTTTCATTTATACCTTAAGGAACCAACAAGTGAAGAAAGCCTTCATGAATATGATACACAGAGTTGTTTCTTTCTCAAAGAAATGAATATGATTTGCACTATACATAAAGAAGATAAGCAAAAGGGCATCAATCAACAACAGCATATCCAATGTAGTTCTAATACATATTTCCTTCACTTTTCCTTTCATTTCTACAATATTAATCTTTATTTAAAGCTTTATTTTTATACAAATTTTGTGCTAGAATTTTAATTTTATTTATATTCTTCTATAGAGATTTATTTTGAATCTCACCTTCTTTGTACATGTGAAAGAAATTGAGACACATTTTTAATTTGTTTCTTTATCTCTCAGTTCTAGTTAGTCAAGCCTAAAAGTATCCTTACATTTGAACTATATTTAAAGCAGCTTGTGATGCCATGTTATTACTGTCTTTTCGTTGTTATCACTTAATACCTACTTAAATCTATTATTCATTTATATTTTTATACTACTAATTTATTAATGCACATTCTATTTAAAATAATAGAAAATTATAACATAAATTAATATAATGTTCATATTCATATTTTTAATGTTTATTAAAATATAATTATTGTTTTAATACATTATTTAGAAATTAGTTCTTTATAAGAACATATATTTGAATACTATCTTATGAGCAAAATAAATGATAGGCAGGAAGAAAACTACATACAATATGTAATTTACCAAACAATTTTATATGCTTATTTAAAAATCATAAAATGAACTATATTTTAAAGGCTATTTGGGTCTTAAACATAATTTTAAGGAAAATGTATATTCAAACAAATTATTACATTTTTGGTGATAATTTAAGTATCATTTTTATCCATTTTGTGAAAGTAGAGCTAATGACCCTGAACCATTATTAAACTTTTAGAAATCTTAAGAACCTAAAAGTTGAAGAACATATATATATACATTTTGAGGCAATCTAATTAAAATAAGGGGACTTCCCTGATATAAGACTTAAGGCTCTCTAAATTCCTGACTAATTTTGATTCTGTTATGTGTTAATTGGGAGGAATGTCCTTTAAAAACATATTGTTCAAGTTAAACCACTACTTTATCATTGAGCTATTCTGAAATATTATATATATTTTAAAGATCTATCATCTACTCTGTACTTAACATAGAGCATGTACTGAAACTCTTGATAAGGATCCAGCAATTTTAAACTAAAATATTCCAATTCCTATTTCTTTCCGTACCAAGGTAGATTAGAGTTACATTATCTGTCATCTTCATTATTTCAGTTTGTCTATGAAATATCAATTTGATTATTTCTATTCATGCCAGTACCATCACCTCTGAATTATGAATCCTCAGAGACTTTTCCACCACTTTTTTGTTTGTTTTTGATTAAATTGGATCTCTAACACAACTTTTAAATAGAAGTACAACTTACTTCTTAAGAAGGCTTCCATGTGAAATGTTAAAATACTTTATCCTTAAATGCTTTCACCTTTTCAACTCTACTGAAGTAGGCTGAACAACAAATATGGTATTAGAGATAAGAACTCAGTTTATTGACTACTCAGTAAATGACAGAAACTGGTAGGTGTTTTATGTAAATCATAATTCTGGAAACAATAGTGTGATATAAAAATTATTATTGTTATGCATAAGAGAAAAGGATAGCTCAGTGAAGCTACTAGAAAGAAAAATCAAGAAAACAATCCTATTAATAATTGCATCAAAAAGAATAAATTGCTCAAGAAGAAATTTAACCAGGGGTGTGAAATATTTCTATTCTGAAAGTATAAAACATTGATGAAAGGCATTGAGTATGATGCAAATATATGGAAAGATATCTTGTGTTTATAGATTAAAAGAATTAATTATGTTGTTAATATATCCACACTATCCTAAGTTATCTATAGATTTAATGAAATCCCTGTTAAGACCCCTATGACAGTTTTCACAAAACTAGAACAAATAATCCTAAAATTTTATGGAATCACAATAGATCCCAAATAGTCAATGAAATTTTCAGAAAAAAGAACAGTGCTAGAGATAACACACTCCATTACTTCAGACCATACTATAAAGTTACAGTCATCAAATCAGTATGGTCTTGCAAAGAAAAAAATAAAAAGACAGAGATCAATGGAACAGAATAGAAAGCCCAGAAACAGTGCATGATGGCTAAGTCACTTCAGTCACGTCCAACTTTTTGTGACCCTATGGACTGTAGCCCACCAGCCTCTTCTGTCCATGAGATTCTCCAGGTAAGAATACTGGACTGGGTTGCCATTCCCTAGCAAACAACTCATTTAAAATTGGGCAGAGGACCTGAATAGACATTTTTTTCCCCCAAAGAAGACATACAGATGGCCAACAGGCCCATGAAAAGGCGCTCAACATCCCTGATCATAAGGAAAAAGCCAATCAAAACCACAATGAGATACCATGTCAAACCTATCAGCATGGTTATCATCCAAAAGACAGTAAATAATAAGTGTTGGTGAGAATGTGGGGAAAAGGCAGCCCTTGTGCACTGTTGATGTGAATTTAAATTGACACAGCCATTGTGGAGAACATCATGGATATTACTCAAAAATTAAAAATAGAACTACCATACAATCCAGCCATTCCACTCCTGGATATTTATCTAAAGAAAGAAAAAACACTAATTTGAAAAAAAAATATGCACCCCAATGTTCATAGTAGCATTATTTGTAATAGCGAAGATATGGAAATAACCTAAACTCTATCAAGAGATGAATGGATAAGGAAGAAGGGGTGCCTGTATATAGGCAATTGAGTATTACTCAACCATGAAAAGAAATGAAATTTTATCATTTGTGGAAACATGATGAAGCTGAAGGGTATTATACTTAAGGAAGTAAGTCAGACATAGAAAGACAAATACCAAATGTTTCACTTATATGTGGAATCAAAAATAAAACAAACAAATTTAACAGAGCAAAAAGAGACTGACAGATACAGAGAAGGAACTAGGGATTACCAAAGGGAAGAGGAGTTGGTGGAGGGTTAAAATAGGTGAAGGGGATTAAAAGATATGAAGTGCTATTTTTAAAACAAATTACTTAGGGAGATGAAAATGTCAGAGCAGGAAGTTGCTGAGCTCACCTCCCCCAATGAATACTTTGAAAACACATCTACCTATGGAAAAATTCTCACTGAAAACAAATTGGAGACTGCCAGAAAGATTGCTATACAACCAAAGCTGTAAAGAAAGATCCCCTCCGAGTCAGGTAGGAAGGAGAAAGAAGCAATCAGGTAGGGAGCTGCACCCCTAGGAGGGGACATGAAGAGGGGAGAGGTTACATGGACTCAGAAATCCTCTCTGGGGAGTGAGCAATTTGAACACATATCCACCACAGTCCTAGAGTCTAACACTGGGAAAACAAGTTTCCTTGGCTGACTTGAACACCCATGGAGCTGGCAGCAGGGCTTTGGGAAACTTAGACTCTGTGAAGAGCACATATGCTTGCTTGCTCCTGAAACAAGGTGGAAGAAGCAGATAGAGCCTGTCTGGGACTCTGATCATTTTCCCGCGCTGGCCACAGGTGTGCCCTGGCCGATGTCAAGTGTTCACTTCAGCCCCTCTTGCTGCATGGTGCAGCTCCCAACTAGGGCAAGGGCTGTCATTGCTGAGAACAGGCAACAGTAAGGGATAAAGTCAATTAGATCTGGCACTACATCTGAACAAGGTAGGGGTGGCCTTTGCTGGTGGTACTCACTCATAGAGGTAGCATATCCGGTCCAGTCTTGAATACTGGTGTGCCAGAGCCACCCCAGAACACACCCTGGCCTGTAACAGGGCCCCTCTGGCCCCTCTTACTCCAGCTCTAACCCCTTCTGGATAAAGACGCTGATGATGAGAGGCAGGGAGAGCACACACTTAAAGGAAACAGGAAATCAGATATAACCTGACCCTCAGTGCTTCTCCATCAGCACCAAAAGACAGTCCATATCCCTAATGGGGCTGTGTTGGCCTCTGACCATAGAAAAAAAACCCCAACTTACATCTGGCTCTGACTCTAGCCCCTTCATCTCCAACCACCATCCCACCAAGTTAATAGCCGCCAGCACACTCCAGGGGAAGATAAGATTTGTGCTCATTTCTGATCCAGATCTCTGACCAAAGTCACACACAGACTGTATAGTGATGCACCCACACAAGACAGCCTTCAAGACAGGGATAGATGTGACTGTTTCACTGAATTTCATAAAGACAAATTTAAGCAAAAAGAAGTTGGAGTAATTTGTTTCAAATCAAACAAAAGAAATTTGAACAAACAACTAGTGAAATGAAAATAAATAATTTAACAGATAAACAGTTCAAAATATTAGTAATGAAAATGTTAACTGAACTAGGGAAAATAATAGATGAACACAATGATAATTTTAACAAGGAACTAGAAAATATGAAAAAAGAAAACTGTCAGAGCTGACTATTGTTCAGTTGCTCAGTCATGCCCGACTCTTTGGACTGCAGCATGCCAAGCTTCCCTGTTCTTCATTATCTCCTGGACTTTGCTGAAACTCGTGCCCACTGAGTTGGTGATAACATCTAATCATCTCATCCTCTGTCATCCCCTTCTCCTCCTACCTTCAATCTTTCCCAGCATCAGGCTTTTTGCCAATCAGTCAGCTCTTCACATCAGGTGCCCAGAGTATTGGAGCTTCAACTTCAGCATCAGTCCTTCCAATGAATATTCAGGGTTGATTTCCTTTAGGGTTGACAGGTTTGATCTCCTTGCTGACCAAGGGATTCTCAAGAATCTTCTCCAGCAACATAGTT